ATGAAGAAAAGAATAACAAACAGAGGACATTCAAAACTTCTTTCATAAAGTTTATATATATTTGTAGTCAGAATTTTGATATAGAACTCTCTCCCAGCTTCTTGCTTCCCAGTCAACTTTGATCTTCAAAAGTTTAAATGCAATATCAATCATTATCTTCTGCCTTCTTAATTTCAGTGTTTTTATTGTTCTCTCCCCTTAATATTTTCCTTTTCTCCTATTCTTTCACACTCAGTAACCCCTTGCATCTTAGTGACTTTATTTCCTTGCTTGGGGTAAAATGATTAAAAAAAAGTTGTTTTAATTTTCATTAAATAAGGTGTTGTTTGTTTACATAACATTCTTTCATTCAAATAAACTAGATTCTAAACTAAGCCTACCCACTCTCCTCAGATTTTTTTCCAACTCACAATTTTATTCAAAGCCTTCCACATATTAGATTTTGAAAAAGATTTCTAGCCTGCTACCTGAAACCTATTCCAAAACATTCATTTTATTCAAACCCATGAGTACATAAATTAAGGTTTGGAGTAAAGGTCTGTAAAAAATGAAAATGAATTTGATACAATTTAATATATTGAAATTTTCCAGCAGTTAAATGAACTAAATTCTGAAATAATCTTACTCACTCCTCAGATTTTTCCACTCCTGCCTAGCATTATTAGATTTTTAAAAATGAATTCCTACAGAATTAGATTTTGAAAAATAAATTCCTACATAATTAGATTTTGAAAAATAATTTCCTACATTATTAGATTTTGAAAAATAATTTCCTACATTATTAGATTTTGAAAAATAATTTCCTACATGATTAGATTTTGAAAAATAAATTCCTACATTATTAGAATTTGAAAAATAATTTCCTACATTATTAAATTTTGAAAAATAAATTTCTACATTATTAGATTTTGAAAAATAAATTCCTACATTATTAGATTTTGAAAAATAGATTCCTACACTGCACTTATTCCAGCCTCCCTACTTATTAGATTTTGAAATATTTTCAATGCCTCAACTTATTTCAGTTCACTCTGCTTTTTACTGGGTGTGGCATAAATATTTACCTATTATTTAAATATAAAAATTTATCCATTATTTAAACAAAATTTGAAAGATACTTATTTGTCAAAATGGTTTCAAATTTTGCATAAGACTTCTTAACAATCTTTTATTTTATTTTTTACAGTTTAATTAAGTATGTCATCTCAATCAAAACAATGATGAATTTATTGCATTGAAAATGGCTAGTATGAATAATTGTGAGGTGATAAAAATGTTGCATGTTTTCAGAAAAACAAACAACCTCATCAAATCCAATTTCAGGAAGAAACTGTTCAGTTCATACAAGGAGAGTTATTGAAGTTGTCAAGACGAGGATGAAGAGAAATCTATGAAGAAGCATGAGCAAGATGGAAAAACAGCTGGATATTTTGGATAGGTCACTAAGGAAGATTCTGAAAGAGAATTAAAAGCATAGAAGCAACAAAAGTAACCACTCTAAAGTGCCTCCAAGCAGAGAGAAGAAAATGTTGGAGTAGATGCAGCATGTCACTGACAAAGACCTTGTTTGGCTGGATCAGATGTTTTACAATGCGAAGGCTGTGGCCAACTACTAAAATGATAGGGTTTATACCACTTCACCATGAAACATTCCTGAAGGTGTCAGAATACATTTCAAGTGACAGAAAATGACTGGTGTTCATGGTTTAGGCTGCTGATTTTTTTTTTTTGATGGTTTGAAATTATCTTTGAAGAAAGATGGAAAGTGAATATCAGACTTTACCAGTAAATGTTAGGGAGAAATGTGTTACCCTGGCTGCCAAACACATTTGAAAGTTGCTATATCTTCACTCAAGACAGAGCTCCTGCACTCATGGCCAGTTAGATTCAGAACTAACACAAGAAATATTTCCATACATTTATTGACAAGTTAACTTAGCCTCCATCAAACCCTAACATTAATTCGATGGTCATTGCAATATGACCCATATTGGAGAGTAATGTTTCATGTATCTCATACTCAAGTGTGTCAGACATGAAGGAAACTCTTATGATGCTGTCATATAATTTGAATGAAGAGATGATGGAAAAGTTATGCACTTAGGATGAGAAGAGATTAAAGGCTATGATGAAAGCAATAGATGGCCATTTTGAATTTTAAATATATGTAAAATATTGTCAATGAATATTACAATCAACCTTTAAACTTTCATTAACCAAACTGTAAACCTTTTTAATTATTGATAAAATAAATAATGGGTATGTGGAATTTAAAAGATTGCATGTTGGGTATATTAAGAGGTGCATTCTTATATGTAAGAGGCACACAAAATCTTGGATTTCTACCACAGATTGTTTATTCTCTTTCTTTTTATGGCGGAAACAGTAGAGAAACTGAGTGCTCAGTGCCACTTGGGTATGTCCATTTTCTTTTTGGCTCAGAAGTTAGAGTAAGTAAGGTTAAGCTTCATTATAATGGTCAAGCTCAAGTCAGCCTTGCACAGAGTTGAAACAACCAAAGAAAAGTTTGATTTACTTCATAGGTGGGTTTTTTGAAAGACACATGAAAACACCATGTGCTGGAAAGTGGAAAGAAAGTTCCATCATTGGTGCACTGAGTAAATGAATGTGCCCCAGTAGCGATGTTCTTTACCTATGTGAAACTACATCTGGAAGGAAGAGGACAAAGGCAACAAAAACGAAATGTTTATCTTTTTATAGACTTCAACTGTGTCACCTAATGATCTTTAAAGAAGCGGGGTAATCATATTTTCAGTTCCTTTACTCTTACCATCATGGGAAAATGTTTTTCTTTTTATTATTCACTAGCCTAGAAGCCACCCTTTGGGCTGATTTTAGGCTTGCTCCCTCAAAGAATTTTTGGGACTTCAGGCTTTTACCTTCAGTGTCCTATATTCATAAAAGTAATTTAGAAATAATAAAATTATTTTATCTTTATTCGACACTTTAATTCGGCATAATCTTTCTTCGTATACTCAACCAATCTCAGTAGTTTGTTTACATTTGTTTTGCACACAATTTTTATTTTCTTTTAAAATCCCCATTTTTATTATCCCTTCACATAAAATCACTCTTAAAAGACATTTGGGAACCTGAAGTATATAATATTTCAAATACATCTCAGTACACATACTAGAAAAAGAAACATATGAGCAATGTACTGTACCCTGCTAATTTGATAATATCAATTGCAATTGTGATGAAAAGTGAAATTAAAGTTAAACCTTTAATAAAAAATTGTTTATTAAACCTTTTACTCTGTTCAATATTTAAATTTAACTTTAAAGGATTTGTTTATTTAATTTTTAATTGTGTTTAACTACAGTAGTTACTATTCGTCACTTCACTGGGATTGAACAAACAGATGGACGGACACACATATATTGTGCTTTATTTATATGGATTATTATTATTGTTTTATTTATTGATTTTATTTAATTTTCACACAGGTAAGTATATATGGTGCACCTGATATATTTTCCAACCCTACAGTTTATTCCATTCAAATCCTTCTTTTATTTAAGATAAAAGAATATTAACCAGGCTTATGGTTAACTTAGTGATCTCTTTCTTTATATTAGGGAAGGAGAGATAACATCAAGCTTTACTGCAGTATTATGGTCAGTATTAACCAGTGACATGCAAAGGTTTGGTGATGCTTAGGGCCAACATATTTCCACAAGCCATATATTAAAAGCCTTCCAGCAGATTATATCAATATTTGACTTGCTTCACCCAGTACAAGGCTCAAGAGCCACTCACGGTAGAGGGTTACTGTGTGATATTGAGAATAAGAAAAGGCAAGAAGTGAAGTTCATGTGATTATTCAGGAAAGTTAACAGTTAACCCAAGATGTGAAGAGGTCAAAATTGTAATGATTAGAGAAACAGCCTGCAGGAAATCTGTTCCACAAGGCAGCAGTTCTTTGAAGAAGCTGTTCAGGTGGAATTTACTTTTTATTAATGGAATACAAAGGGAATAGGGATGATTCACTCTTGTGTACGTGACAGTGACATGCAGAGATTTGGTGATGTTTGGTGATACCCGGGGTCAGCTCTTTGATTGTATGCCCATAAGACTAAAGTGTGTGTGCATGGGGGGTGGGCTATAGGGCCTAGTACTGAGAAATGTGAGAAAGGAAGACATTTTAAATATGTAAAAACAGATGAAACATAAAATAAACATTTTATTCAAATTAAATATAAACTAAATTTTTATTTCACTCTTTGATTGGATGCTCTCCTGATATATATATACCCGGAGCCGTCTCACCCTCCGCCCCACCACCACTTCTGCATGCCACTAGTACATGGCATGGCAGATCTCAGTTGTAAAGATCAGGTCCAGTTGAACTAAGGAATGTAGCTTGTCAGAACACATACTATAGAAATAGCAATAGAGCTGCAAGAGGCCCGCAACATTTGGTTCGAGGAGAAAGGGGTTGTAGGGTGGGAAATAACTCATCACCCACAAGTCTGCATAGAATATTTTTGAACTCTATCAAGACAGAAAAAATGAGGACTGGACAGCTCCAGCTCAAATATACTTTTGTTTCTCTTTCGTAGACTAAAATTTCTTTCATTTCTCTGAGGTAAAAGATGTCTCTTTCCTCAATAGTATGGTGACTGCCAGATCCTATAGCAGGTGTACGTGGCAGCAACATGAAGAGATTTGGTGATGTTTGGTGATACCCAAGGCCAACACTTTGAATGTATGCCCCTAAGACTAAGTAGGGGGAGGCCTATAGGGCCTAGTACTGAGAAACGTGAGAAAGGAAGACATTTTAAATATGTAAAAACAGATGAAATATGAAATAAACACTTTATTCAAATTAAATATAAACTAAATTTTTATTTCACTCTTTGATTGGATGCTCTCCCTATACGGATACTTGGGGTTGTCACACCATCTGATCTCCTTCTTCTGCACACTACTGACGTTAACTCACTCAGATCAAGATTTACAAGATGAATACTTACTTGGGCAGCTTGATGCTTAGTTTTGAGAGAAGTTCCATATCATGCTCATAATCATTTGATTCGTATGATGTAAGCTCCTCATCTAAAAATAATAAGAAAAAGACATAATTACACATGATCTGGATGAAGTCACACAAGAAATAAAAATTTCAGTCAAAAAAAAAATCATAGTTATAATCATCACTAGTTGTGGTGCATGAGCAAAAGAGAAACAACAAATCTGAAACAGGAACAGGAAGTGCAAATTAAGCATGCTCAGTGATGGTTTAATATTTGGCATCATGGGAAAAACAGTCAAACTCATTAATGAAAGACAATTTATTAACAATGAGCAAATCTCTCATCTTGTCATGTCCATAATGAAATATATAAATAAAAAATGAATTATACTCTCACTGTGACAGATCAATAAAAAATAAATAAAAATTAATTATAGTGTCAAAAATAATTATAATAAAATAATTATAACAATTACAATTATCATTAATTTGCTCTTTCTAAAGTAATAAGAATCAACCCCACTTTTCTCCTCTACACACACAAACACATACTCACTATCAGACAGGCAGTCAACACAGACAGGCTGTCAACATGTGCATCAACAAAAATTTAATCTTCTTTTCTTTTTTCAGGCCATAATAGTAACATTTATCTTTTAGCACTCAACAAAAATTCAAGGTAAGAAAACTTCAGACACTTGAATTTTCCAATGAAATTATTTTGACACTCATTACACATGTCTATAAAAAAACATACGAGAAAGACTGTATACACTTTAACTATTCTTTGTCTTATCCTTCTGTTGGATTCTGATCCATAATTGATTTACATATGATCCCAAACCCACAATTTTACTCACTATTAGTGTCTCTCATGTCTCAAATACCATATTACAATGAGATAATAAATAAAACTCATTTTGTTGTTTCTACACCTTGCTGTTTTTCATTTTTATGAGTATTCTTCTATATATAAATGCTAGGGGGTTTATAATTATTTGCTCAAAGTTATAACTCTGCTATTGTCTTTATCTGATGAACATGAATTATGGCTGTGTAAATAAAATAAGCAAAAGAAAAAAATGATCTGTTTTTTTTTCACATAAACAAAAGACCAAAATTTTGTGGTAAGTGATACTCCTCTGGTTGAGAGTAGAGAGCATGATTCTCACTCGGTGTCACATAGAAATATTCAGCATAAAATAACCCAAAAGGAAGGATATGCCATAAAATCAACCACCCTAATCTACTGAGGATAAAAATTTCCCTAATCCTTTGCTTGGGATCAGTATGGTTTCATCACTCAAGCCTAAGATGGCTTCCTTGGTATGAGATAATGATTAGCAAGGCTAATCTGATTGACCATTACTCATGGATAGTGAGTTTGATCTTCACTGTGTGCCCTATACAAAATTCAGTATTAAATCACCAATGTCATAAAATCAATTGATGTAATCTGTCTAAGATCAAAATTTTTCAACCTGTTTCATGTGTGTATAAAATATTCAATAAGTGCATGAAATATTATATATATATATATATATATATATATATATATATATATATATATATATATATATATATACTAATGTGGATAAATCAAATAACTAGATATTAACAACCATATATATGTGCGTTAGCGTGCATACACAGGTAAGGGGAAAAATATTTACACAATTTAAGGTGTAAACAAAACAGTGCTTAATGTGGTTAGACAGAGCTAAGAAGTATATATTAATAAATATACATATACCTACATTTGAAGTGCAACTTAAAGTTTCAATGTTCTACCAACTCATCAGGCACAAATTATTACTCTAAGTAATAATTCATGCCTGATGAGTTGGTAGAACAATGTAGGTATAATGTATATTTATTAATATATATATATGCGTGTGTGTATGTGTGTGTGTATAATAAATTCAAAGGTAAGTGTGTTACTGTGTCACAATTTTTCAACTTTACTCCTATTTTTGGAATCAGACTCTATGATCAAATTAAAAAATTTCCGGGTCAGATCCAGACCTGTAATTCTGAAATTTTGGATTCCCAAGTTTTCATTACTGCAATTGTTTTCAAATTCTGCCATATTGGCTTCTACTGATAAAAACAATTAAAGAGACACAACTCTCTAACTTTCAGTAGCTCATGTTCAAATGAAATAATTACTGTTCTTATATTCCAGTGACTCAAAATATGATTGTTCGTGTTTTCAACTTTACTCCTAGAAGTCGTAGCTCAACATCTCATTTCATTTTGGAATCAGGCTAACTCCATAAGCAAATCCTGAAGTTTTCATTACTGCGATTATTTTCAGTGATTTTTTTTTTATGTGATTTTTTTGCAACAAATTTTTTCATACGATAACATTTTTCATAATTTGTAAATAAATTTGGGAATAATCAAAATTAATTGCAAAATCCAGCAAAAGTCACCTATGAAATAAAAATAATTGTTTACACAGAAAGTAAGGACCTACATACATCAAATTGTCTTTAAATTAAGCGTTAGCAGAAGAATTATCATTGAACTTTTAAAAGGTAAGGTGAAATATTAATACAATACCTAAATGCAGTGATCAATTTTGAGTTCATCTGTAGTTTATTGTTGCCTATTGCATCTACTCCTCCCTTTTGTAATAAAGGCCCAATTAAGAGCCCACCACAGAAGCTAGTTTATATGCTGCCTGATAGTTACATCAACATAAATAAGCTGAAGGCTGAAACACATCACATGAAGACTTTCTCCCAAAATTGTACTCAATATATAAAAATTTATGTCATTATCCTATACATATACATGTATATATATATGTATATATAAAAAAAAAGAAAGAACAGTAAGATATATGTATATATAAGTTCTTATAGATATTTTTATATATATATATATATATATATATATATATATATATATATATATATATATACACATACATATATATTTAGTGTATAGGGGCAGCAGATCATTATTCAGATATATATTGTTAAATATAACAGATAATAAATGTCTATTATCTTTTATCATGAGCTGTTCCAATGGCTTTAGTTTCAGGAGAAAATAAAGACAAAACTGTCCAACATTTGGATATTTCTTTATTGTGTGTGTATATATATATATATATATATATATATATATATATAAATATAAAAAGTGAATATAAAGTCAACACTTAAAGGCGACAGTCTGTTTCATGCTATATGCAATCATCAGGCCATGTGTCCTGACATTTGCATATAGCATGAAACAGACTGTCGCCTAAGTGTTGACTTCTATATTCACTTTTATATTTACACATGCTCTGTCTCTGATATTGAGCACTTTATCCCATAAATATACCACACCTTAAGACTATATTTCTTCATATATATATATATATATATATATATATATATATATATATATATATAGATAGTTAGATAGATAGATAGATAGATAGATAATTAATACAAGTGTCTCCGAGGGCTCTATCTTTGGACTTATATTGTTCCTAATTTTTATCAATAAACTTCATGATGTCAACAGTTCTCATCACAGTTTCTATGCTGATGATACAAATATTTTCCCTTATTTTAATAGTAAATCTGATTGGTTCATTAACGTTAAATTAGAAGCTGTCCTAAAAAGTTATCTATGGTAACTTGGAGCAAGAAATGGCTTGTTAATTTTAATACCTCCAAAACAAAACTGAACTCTTATAATTGTATTAGAGGAATATTTTGCCTTCCATCAGCATGGCTGATGCTAACCTCCAGAAGAGTGAATAATTGAACCTTGTCAGGCTAATGTTTTCTGTTGACATGTAGGGGAAAGATTATATTGAATCAATTGCTAGGTCTATTGCTAGAATGTTTGATTCACAGTGTCAATTTTACTTGCCAGAATCTATCTTACACCACCGTCTACCATTTATCCATGCATTGAATATTGCTGCCACATATGGTCTACTACTTTTGTCATGTATTTCAAGATTCTTGATAAAATACAAAGAAGAATCTGCATTTTATTGGTCCTGACCTAGCAACTCAGCTTCAGTCATTTTCCTACCTCTATAACACATCTTTCCTATGCCTTTCCTATAAATATTTTGATGGTAATTATTCTGATGTTTTTACCTTTTTGATCCTAAACTTTATGAATTTAATTACAATACTAGATTGGTAACAAGATCTCATTTTGCAACTGAAATGGTTAAATGTAACTAAGTTCTATGCTAACAGTTTTTTTTTCTCACACTTCTAGCTTGTGGAATTCTCTTCTGGCTTCTTGATTTCCAGTCAAGTTCTATCTTCAAAAATTTAAATGCAATGTCAATCGTTATTTTCTATCTTCTTAATTCCCATTTTTCTTTGCTCTCTTTCCTTAATAATGTTTTCTTTTTCTCGCATTCTCTCATGATCAGTAATCCCTTGTGTCTTAGGTTTATAGCTACATCACATTGAAACACTGGTTCCCATATGGTCACTGAAGTTAAGCAATGCCAAGCCTGGTCCACACCTAAATGAGTGACCACTTGGGAATACCAGGTGCCCAAAGCTTGTTGTGCAGATGATGTAATGGATAATGGTTTGGAATCATTAATTGGAGAGCCGAATGCCAATTCTGTTGGGTTACATGCAAATACCATACAGAAAAGGTATGAATCCACCTCCTCTCCCCCAACTATGGGTTAATTACTAACACTTGTATCACCAAAACCATAATTATCTCAAAAAGAAAAATAAATAAATAAAATTATGTATAAAATATTTAGATTTCAGCATTAAATAACCTATTATGTTAAGCAAATACACCCAACTAATCTTTGTGTCTCAGGGGCTTTATTACCTTGCTTAAGGTGAAATGATTTTAAAAAAATATAAATATAAAATAGTGAGTGTTGTGTTAACAGAACAGTACTTGATACAAAATAATTAAGCTAAAATTTAACCTAAGAATAAATGGATTGTTTACAAAAAATGAATTGTTTACAAAAAGAATTGATTACAGAAAATGAATTAAATTTTTATTTTCTAATTTAATTTATTTTTTATCTTTTGTAAATCTGTTTTATTTTTTTGGTAAATTTCTTCAAGACAAGACA